TTTTTTTTTTTTTTTTTTTTTTTTTTTTTTCCCTCTCACTGAACTTGGCATAAAGCTCTGTTTCCTTGGGAGCTTCTTGCCTGATCTCTGCCCATTCAAGGAAGGCAGAGACGTTGTGAGAGCCACAGCTACGTGCCATGGCAGTCCGTGGTGGGCTGGGGACATTTTAGCATGCGCTCGGGTTTGAGGACTGCTTCCAAACTTTTTAGGAGGAGGCGAAACCAAAAAAAGTAATTTACTTCTTGGTGCTTGTGTTTTGGGGCAGAGGGGAAGGTTGCTTGCTTCTTCCTTCTCAGCGAAACCACTATCAAAATCTGTGAGGGGGGAACACTCCTGCAGAATTTTCTCTCTGATCACAGCTGTTTCACTCACTTTCCCCCTCCTTCCTCAAACCCTCATATTTTCTTTAATGTTGGTCTCCTTGGCTACAAATTATTTGTGTATCTCCTTCCAGCCAAGGTGGGGTTTACATGCTTCAGTGCTTCTGCTTGTTAATTCACGCTGTTAATCAGACACAAAGAACGTAATTAAACTAGTTTTATGAGCTTTATTCACTGTCAGAAATAAACTGGCCCAAAAGGTGTGGTTCAAGGCAAAAGCAGAGGGCTGGGAACCAGGAGCACCCGGTGGCTTCTCCTGCTCGTGACACCGGGGCTCTGCAGCTCCTTTCTGCCGCAGCGTCTCCGCTCCTGGTAGTCTTTTGTGGAAGATTGTTCAGTGTGTTTCTCCGTAACGCAGACTGAAGTGAGAAAGTGTTTTGGGAAAGGCGAGTTGTCCCCCAGTGCCGATGGCGTCTGGGCTCGGCAGCGAGCTGTGCCAGCAGCACCCAGAAGATGCTGTGGGTGCTGGTGTCCGTCCCCAGCGGGGACAGCAGCTGCAGCCCCTCCCTCCTGCTGCCCCCGGCAAAACGTGGAGGGGAAAAACCTCCTTGGGAAGCCCCTGCGTGTCCCGTTCCCACCCCTGTGCCCAGCGGTGCAGCGAGATGTTCCGTCCCACCAGGCAGGGCCCCGGCTCGGGGGCAGCTCCGCTGTCCCTCTGCTGCAGGGGTGACGGGGACCTGTCGCCGCGGTGGGGCCGAGGGGACAACCTGTAGTAACGCTGCGCTTTGCGGCACCCACTCAGCCCGCGGGGCGGCCGGCGGGCGAGGGAGGTGGGAGCTCTCCCCACTTGCCCTGGCTGGTGGTCAGACTCTGCTGCCTCCCCCCTCGGCTGGTCTGTGTGGCCTCTGTGGGCCCCTGCCCAGACCCATCTCCTGCCCCCGGGGTAAAGGAACGATCCGGTTGCTCCTCAAGTGTTTTCCTTCCCTAAATGTCATCTGGGTGGGGGGTGAATTGGGTGCTTCTGCTAAGGTTTTGACCCTCGTGAGGTAAACTGAAGTTAGCTGCTGTTAGAAATGAGCCTTTCAGGACAGACTTTGAATCTGTGCTGACGGAACGCCGGTGTCTGGAGCTCTGGGTGCACCCTCGGCCTGGCAGGTGTGTGTCGGGGTTGCCAGTGCCTGCCCAGGGACCTTTCTCCCCCCGCCCTCATCTTCAACTTGGCTCCAAAGCACCCAGATACCCCTCAGAATCTGATGGGTTTTGCCCATTCCTGGGAGCCGATACAGCAAATTCTTCACAGCACTTTTTAAAATGAGGTGGTGTCCAGTGTTATTTCTCCTGCTGCCTCAAACGCGGTGCTGCTGCTGCTAACAGTGTTCTCTTCCCCTCAGGTGACGTGATCGAAGTGTATTATGGTGACAATCGCTTTGGGACAATGACCGACTCTGGCACGGCGACGCTCAAACCTCGTCCGAGGGTCCGGCCGCTCCTGACTTTCTTGCCCCTTGTGAGTATCCGCCTTGCCGTTGGGATTTGTTACGGCAGCGTGTAACTGGTGCCCAGAACCAGCTGGGCTGGCTGCTGCTCTCATCCTCCACCCGAGGGAAGAAAGTAAATGAAAAGCAAAACCACTCTGTAATAACGCTGGATACGAGGCATTAGGAGGTGATCTGAGTTCAAGGCTGGTGTTGGACATAGGCGAGATACTCAGGCGAGAGATGTAAGCATCATCAGACCTGTATTTTCAATTAAAAAGAAAATCGCTGAGCAGGTAGATGACAGATCTGGCTTGCCCTGCATTTTATCTAACCGCTACTGGCAGTATCTCTCTCTGGATCAGGCTTGTTGCTGGAGAAAGCAAGAGCAAGACTGCGCTGTGTTTACAGCCGGGGGACGAGGAGATGATGCAGCAGGTCTCTGAGCAGAGGCGGATTTTCCAATCTGCGTATGAGGGAAACCATTCCCCGCAGAGCTGCCACGGCCCCAGCAGCACCTGGGTGCAGGCAGACCAGGAGGTGGCTTTAACCCAGCTGGGACCCCCCTGCTGCCTCCAGAAGCCACACGTGGTCCTTGCTGGCTTCGCTGTGCTGCCGGAAGCATTCCCCCCCCTTCCCAAAGGTCTGTCCCCTGGAGAGTCCAGTGGACGCCGCGCAGGGGCATTTTGGCGATGGCAATAGCTAAATCTGAAGGGATACACACGGGTCACAGGGGTCAGCGAAGACAGTAAAAGTTTGGTCTTGACAAGGAAATCCTCTCTGAGAGAGAGGGATGTTTTTCCTCCTACATCCTCGTCCTTTAGAGCAGCCATCACCTTCAGCAGAAAATGGGCTGGGCTGCTGTCACCTGGTGCAATTAGGAGCTAATGGGGTTGTGCAGGTGTCATCTGGAGGACAGCTGGGGGGAAAGAGAGTTTATATATCTGTTTGAGAGCATAATTAGGAAGTTATGGGGTTACACAAGGGTTGTGCCCTCTGTGATGCCTTCCAAAAGATCACAGCAGGTCAAACATCTCACCTGGGCTCCGAGTCCAGTAACTGTAGGACTGACGTTTGAGAAACTCCTCAATTTTGGCAACTTTTTTTTTTTTTTTTTAGAGCTTTCAACTGCTTTACTAGTGGCAGTGTATGTACGTGGTAGAGGAACAAGCAGCACAAATGTCCCTGCTGAGGGCTGTCGCCCCTGCCATGGGGCACAGCTGGCCCTGGGGCTTTTCCCCTCACGAGGGTCCCTCTCACTGTGTGTCTGCCGAGAGTAACAGGTTTAACCAAAGAAATTAGTAGGATTAAGCAAGGCCTTTTAAGGACCAGTCTGTGTTGGGTATTTGCATTATTTTGATTAGGTTTGATTATGATTTGACTTGGCACAGAGGCTTCTGCTGCCACATGCATACTTGCACTGGGCAGTTCTGCAGCTTAACCCTTCCTTTCCACCCACCCGCC